TATTTTCCTTAATGAGACAGCGCAAATCCAAGGGAGCAAAATAATGCTGATGGGAAGGGGTACCGAGACTCCTGAGGGGAGAAGTTCACTTGGAGCTAGTCATCCTCACGGTCCATCTCAGAGACACGGGGCCAGGTTTGTACACGATCTTCACATTATCTAATTACATAATTTTACTTCCTAGCATGATGCCACAGTTTAAAACTATACCTCATTCCCTTCCCTGCTTAATTTTTTCTCCAGAGCCCTTATCTCCTATCATACACTGTAATTCACTTAATAATAACAATAATAATAATAATAATTTTTTAAATCATTCTTTAAATGGCTGATGTCCCCTCTAGAATTGAAGCTCCTCAAAGGAGCTTATTTTATTACTCATTCAGGGCCTAGATAGGTGCACAATAAATATCTATTGGATAAATGAATTATTAATCCCGATCAAAGCAATATTAATAAATAATAACTGTGATCAAGGTTTTTTTTACGTGTATTTAATCTACAGACAACCGATTGGACCTTTAAAATTATTTTGTATAAATCTTCTAATTGGATAAAATATGACAATAGGACCTTTACAAAAGCTTTGATGGTCAAAAGCCAAACAGAACCCATTTTCATCAGCATGGTATGCTCTTCTAAACATATACATGGAAGGATAAGCCTGTGCTGATGAGAATAGAAACTCTTGTGTTTTCCTGATCCAGGCAGACTTACTTGAATCCCTAAAGCTAAGGGTATGGTTAGGCTCATTGTACTCATAACTGTTGCTAGCAGCAAGTTTAGCTGCTGCTTACCAGCCCCATGGAACTCAGAGACTCACTAATTTTATATTCTTATTTCTGGACAAAGCACTATCATCCAATTCCATGTTTCTTGCTACAGGATCAGGCAGTTTATGGGAACTCAAACCATTAAGGTGACTAGAGGAGTATATGCATTATTTGAGAGCTCCTCTTGTATTGGAGACTGTCATAATCACAGGAGATGCTTTCTAGCAGCGCCATATCGGTGTAGTCTGAAGACCATAGTGGCGGCTCCAGCTCTTCCTTCCCCCCCCCGCAAGACTCCTACTCCGGGGGCCAATCTAGTGGGAGTGAAACTGGGCTAATCTGAGTGGCAAAGTTCACTTTTGGTTGAGATTTAAGTAACCTCCTTCTCACGCAGTGTGACCTCTTTCAACAACTGGTCTGAAGAACTGATAAAGGACTAGAGCTATCTAGAAGTGGGAGGAACAACTGGCCTCGCTGGGCTTAAATTAATATGGCAAGTTGGCGAGTCCAAAAAGATAGGGCATTTACAAGCCGATACTCTATAAGACTACATTAATGGGGCGCCTGGGTGGCTCAGTTGGTTAAGCGACTGCCTTCGGCTCAGGTCATGATCCTGGAGTCCCGGGATCGAGTCCCGCATCGGGCTCCCTGCTCGGCAGGGAGTCTGCTTCTCCCTCTGACCCTCCCCCCTCTCATGTGCTCTCTCTCTCATTCTCTCTGTCTCAAATGAATAAATGAATAAATAAATAAATAAATAAGACTACATTAATGACACTTGACTACTTTCCTTATTTATTTATTTATTTATTTGAGAGAGAGAGAGAGAGAGAGAGTTCATGCCGGGGCAGGGGGGCATTGGGGGCAGAGAAAGAGAGGATCTTAAGCAGGCTCCACGCCCAGCACAAGCCCAACCCGGGGCTTGATTTCACGACCCTGAGATCATGATGCTGAGATCATGACCTGAGCCGAAATCAAGAGTGGGATGCTTAACCGACTGAGCCACCCAGGCGCCCCTACATTTGACTGATTTCTAAACAGAGGAAAGTTTGGGTGGGTGTGTAAACATGTGCAAATCACATAGCTATGTAACACCTGTGCCACTCTTGATTATTTCATATATTTCAATGTGGCCTTGGGGGAAAAGCCTCATGTAGGGACACCTGGGTGGCTCAGTCAGTTAGGCATCTGCTGGTGGCTCAGGATCCTGGGATCAAGTCCTGTGTCGGGCTCCTTGCTTGGTGGGGAGCCCGCTTCTCCCTCTGTCTGCCACTCCCCCTGCTTGTGCTCTCTCTCTCTCTCTGACAAATGAATAAATAAAACCTTAAAAAAAATTTTTTTTTTTAAAAAGCCTCATGTAAACTATTGGTCTAGTGGTATATGGGGATTCATGAACTCCAAGTTCTAAATCCACCTGTTTTTTTTTTTTTTTTGGCCAATTTATTTTTAAAAACCAGCTTTATTGAGATATAATTCAGACATTTCAAGTACACAATTCAGTGGTCTTTAGTATACTCACAGTGATATAAACATCACCAGTCAACTTTAGACCATTTTCATCACCCCAACAAGACACTTGTATCTTTTAGTAGTCACTCCCCATTCCTCCCCAACTCCACCCTTTCTGTCTCTATAGGTTTGCCTATTGTGGATCTGTTATATACATGGAATCATATAATATATGGTCTCCTTCCATTTAGCATGATCTTTTCAAGGTTCATCCATGTGGTAGCAAGTATCAGTACTTCATTCCTTTTTGTTGCTGAATAATATTCCATTTTTCTATTCTGTATCACATTTTATCTCTCCTTTTATCAGTTTTGACCACTTAGATTGCTTTCACTTTTTGGCTATTATGAGTAATGCTGCTGTGAACATTTGTGTACAAGTCATACATTTGTGTACATGGACATACATTCTCATTCTCTTGGATATATAACTAGAAGTGGGATGGCTGGGTTATATGGTAACTCTGTTCAACTTTTTTTTTTTTAATTTATTTAGTTGAGAGAGAGAGAGAGAAAGAGAGAGTGCATGTGAGCAGGGCGGAGGGGAGAGGTAGAGGGGGAGAGTCTCAAGCAGACTCCCTGCTGAGCTTGGAGACCGATTCGGGCTCCATCCCAGGACCCTGAGTTCATGACCTGAGCTGAAATCGAGTCAGATGCTTAACTGACTGAGCCACCGAGGTGCCCCCGCCACAGCAACTCACCATCTTATATTCCCACCACCAATGTATGATGATCCCAATTTCTCTACCTCCTTTCCAACAGTGTTATTATCTGTCTTTTTTATTATGGTCATCTTGTTTGGTGTGAAATGGTATCTTATGCTTTTGATCTTCATTTCCTTAATGACTACTGATAGTAAGTATTTTTTCATGTGTTGATTGGCCCTGTGTACATCTTCTTTGGAGAAATGGCTCTTCGATTCCCTTGCCCATTTCTGAATGGCTTATTTGTCTTTTAGATGTTGAACTTTTCTTCATATGCCTTAAGAATGGGGGTAGTTGGAGGAAGAGCCTGAGACCTCTTGCCTGCTCCTGCCTAGATGAAAGCTTCTACAACACAAAATGGGTGGTAAGATGCCAGTGGCCTGCTTTTCCCAGGGTTATACCATAGCCCTAGACTGGGATCTAAGTTGAGAGGGAGCCCTGTGTTCTTGGCTGCAGGCCCCGGGAATGGAGCACCATCCCCTAGCTGGAAGGGGGCAGGGAAGTGGGTTGTGGCTGAAATGCCTCACACTCCTGCTGTTCTTACTGAATTGCAGTAGTTTATCTTGAGTAAAGTTTTCTTCATTTGTTGTCTTTCCTCAGAACAATTTCCAGAGATGAACTAGTTCATCTGTAATTTTCACCAGTGGTTGTTTTGCTACAGAGTGGGTTCATGGAGTTCCTTACACAACCATTCTGGAAGTTGAGTTCCTTTTGAATAACTTTTAATGCAAATGTTGCATCTCTTATACTTGGTGGTAAAAGAGTTTATGCTGACATAGTAGATAGATAATTATGAAGGACAGTTTTTACAAAAGTAAATTTTGTAAATTTATTAACAGTGGATGAAGAGAACTGATTGAAGTTGAGGCCTGGTTGACTTTTAACTTTATATCCAGTCAAATTCTAGAATGCTCATGCATTTGATTTGACAAACTATTCTTAATTTATTGTTATTAAATGGCTGAATAGAAATATTTGAATAATGAGGGTGACAGGGCATTTCATATGAGAGATTATTGCTCTAGTAATCTATGTACAAAGCCATCAAAGCCCTGACAGTTATCAAAATGATCCCTGTTTTTGAAAGCACAGGAATAATTAAAATGTGAAAATCAAGTTACTAAAACCTCATTAGTTTTATGCATTAATCTAAAAAGTTCACAGGCAAAAATGACCATATATTTTTAATTAATTCAAAAGAACGACACACCACTACGTCTTTTAGAAAAACAACTTTCCCAATTTCCCTGATGAACCTGTTTGTAGTTTTAGAGCTAAGGTTTACATTTAACAATTCCTCAAATTCTTTATTGAATCAGGAGCTGAACTCATCTATGTTAATTGCCAACCAGTCGAATGTCACTTTAGTTGAAACAGACATAGAACCTCTGCTCATATCTAAAACCCTCTCTTTCCATTCCTTTCCATTCCGTGGCAAAGTTAACTATTCCTTTCTCTTGGGGTTTAGAAGTCTGGTTACTTATGAATGATCACATAAGCATCTTTGAGAAAATACATACTGCTTCATAATCATGAGAAAATGTTAAAATGTATTCCTTGTTGGAAATTCTTCCCTTTTTGGGCAGTTGACTTGTGTGTACTATCGCCTAAAGTAGCTTTAGGGGCTAAAAGTATTATATAAGAACATAACACTAGAATATTTAAGAATGAAACCAAGCACCTCCCAAAGATATTTCCCTGAATAGTTACTGAACTACACAAAGATAAATACTAAAGTAATTCACAAAGTAATTTTCTCTTCTTGGGCTGGGAAAGTTTCAATAATAAAGTTTGGCTTCTGTTGAGTGAAACCTCTTAGTTTCTAACTATGTTAGAAAGGCAACTGTGTTACCAAGGCAAATGGAAAAACCCATTCAATTCTTAAAATTTTAATGCAGTTAAATAATAAACTGATAAATTGCATTAAAGCTAGGATTAATTTTTCCCCTATAGAGACAGGAATTCCAACCTACTAAAGCTACTTTAGCGTTCAAGCATATATTTTGGAAGATGCTTACCTCCCGGTTGGGTGTATCTCCCTGCGGCTTAGGTGAGCACCCAGGCTTTGGCTCCTCCCCAGCTGCTGCGAGCTTCCCACTGCGCCGGGCGCCTCAGAGCCTCCTGGAGTTAGGTGTTCGGCCCCGCCCTCTGCACTATTGCTAAAACTCCAGTTCTGCCAGACCGATTCCGGTGATTAATTATTGACAAAAGGAAAACACTCCCGCGCAAACTTGTGTCCAACCGCACTGCTCCCAGCGATTGCTTCCAGAGGAGAATGCCGGCTGCACCACTCCCCTCCCCCCTTTGCTCTACGGTCCCAACTTCCCACACACTGCCACTCTGTCCTGGGCGATCAGGCTCGTCCTCGGAGGAATGCAGCCCAGCGACTTCTACATTTTTTAAATTTGGTTTTCTGCAGCTCGTTAGCACTTCTCCGGGGACCAGCCTCTCAGGAGGGGGCGCTTTCCGGATGCAGGGGAAGCCGGGGCTCTGAGAGCAACCGAGGAGGCGAAGGCGTCGCTGTCACCTCCGGCTGCTGCAGTAAAACCCCGAGCCGCGGCGGGGATGGGGAGGAGGGGATAGGGAGGTGTCCTCCCCCTCGCTTGGGCTGGGAGCCCCGACACGACCAGAGGGGCACGTCCTTCGGTAGTGGTGGTGGGGGCGGGCAGATAAACGGGAGGCGCGAGGTGGGAGTTTGGGGCTTTAGCGGGAGCCAGCGTTAACCCGCCCAGGGGAAGCCTGCGCCCCGCATCCATCCATCTGCAGACTTGGGCAAGGGGGCGAAGCTCGGCGGATGCTGAGCAGGACTGCGGTGTGAAACTCGGCAGCAGGCTGCGAAGTGAGCCCAGGGCTCCGGGCCGGGGCGGCAGTCGGCCGAGCAGGCATCCCCCTGCATTTGTTTGTCAAAAATCGAAGAAAGTAAACCCGTTTAGCGTCGGCAGCTGATTTTGGTGCCTTCGAACGCGCAAAAACGCCTCTCCCCGCCCCACTCCCTCCATCCTGCCCCCTTCCCTCCGCCCCTTGGCTGGGAGGTTAATCGTTGAAAAACTGGGCTCCCCCGGGGAAACAGACGGAAGGATCGTGCCCGGGGAACTTGTGTGTGCTCACTCACAAGTGGAGAGAATTAATCCGGGCCCGGACTGCGGCAGGAAAGCAAACTGGGGAGAGCGGGCTGGGAGGCGGCTCGGCTGTGCAGACCCGCGCGGCGCGGGCTCCCGCGGTTCCGGGGCCGGCGTGCCCAGCGCCCGCGCTCCGCTCTCAACGATCTTCCCGAGGAGGCGCGGGACCGCGAAGAGCATCTTCCCTGGAAACCCGCATCCAGAACACCATCGATCCCTTCTCCACCGAGCGCAGGATGTTGGCTGCGAGCGCAGAGGCCCTTGAGGATCCCGGCCCCGATATCTCCGCCACCGAGACTCTCTGCGCAAGACCCGGGGGCGCCCGGGGCCCAGAGCTTCTTGTGATTAATGAGCATTTGGGCAACTGCCAGTCAGCCCCCAGTGCTGAAGGAGGAGGCACTGCACATGCTCGGCCAGGGCTGATGGTGCTGAAGCGCGAATTTGAGCTGCGGGCAGGTTTCTGCTCGTTTTCACCGCACTCTTCCAGCAGGTTCCAAGCTGCGGGTGCCACGAAGAGGGAGACTTACGTTATTGAGAGGGATTTTCTCCTCGCAGGAGGGGGTGCGTCCCCAAAGGAAGCTGAAGGTGGTTGGGGCCAGGGAAGGGAGCCACTAGGAACGGAGGAGCAATTTGAAGCCTGTACTGGCCAGTTTTTACATCGTTATCTTTTCCTTCTCTGGAACTGTATCTAAATATGAGCAACCACGCCTAGCATTTTTCATTTCATTATCACTTTGTGTTGTTTACATTCCTTATCTCGCTGCCTCTCCTGACACACCTTGTAATTTCGGCAGAGCAAGTAAGACCACACCATTGAGGCGTGGAAATAGATGAGGAGATAGAAAACCTGAAAAGTGACTTGTCCAGGGTCACCAAGCCCGTTGGGTGGTAGGACCAGTACTATTACACTAGGTTTTAGGTCTCGTTCTTCATTATCTCGTTCTCTTACTGGACCTTGCCAATCACCATGTGATTGTACATTGGTGGAACTACAGAAACAGGCCCCTTTTCTCTGTGCCAGAGATTTGTGAAATGGATAGAAGACCTTGCAATTACTTCAACTGGCGGTTGGGAGAAAGGGGTACATTTGGCAGAAGCATCCAGACTATTAAAAAGGATCTTAAATGACATATGTGTAATATAACCACACACAGATAAAAGGGATGTGTATCTTTTCACCTCCAAATGGAAAATAGATTTTTTTCTATCTAATCATAGAACATTCTCAAAACTTAACTAGATCATAAAATAAAGATCACGGGCGCCTGGGTGGCTCAGTTGGTTAAGCGACTGCCTTCGGCTCAGGTCATGATCCTGGAGTCCCTGGATCGAGTCCCGCATCGGGCTCC